CAGAGTCAAGGCCAGGCTGGAAAAAAGGACCCCAGGAAGGACAGATCAACCCAAAGCAGATATGATATTAATACTTTGCAGTGACATCATGCTGGGATGTTCTACATGTATGTATACTGGCATAATGTTCAGCAGTTACCATGCAGACACAATGCACTAATTAACAAACGCAGCCAAATAAGATCTGAAAACTCAAGAAAAATAATACTAAATTGGATTTAAACAACACATTTTCTTGAGCCTGTGATCAATTTTCATGGTCCTGTTTAGGTGTTTGAGTTTCACCAAAAATGTGAGAAGGATTTAAAAACTTGTTGAATGCCCTTCATAGAAGAAAATAACATGTATTCTTTACACCCTCAGAGTGTTACACTGGTCACTGTGGTGTTGATGAATCATACTTGTTTGGTTAGAAGTAACTGATTAAAGACAATTTTGATACTGAATAATATTACAGTTCTTCATGATTTCAATAGCTTTCAAACCCTTGGACACACACGTTTTCTCTCAAACTGTATTCACCTGCTGTTTAAACCTCCTTCAGTGTCGTTCATTTCATAAATATTTACTTGGCCAGATTTAATTGCATTCATTAAAATGTTGAATTCAGCAAAAAATGTTTCCTAAATTCCCTACATGTTTGCAACATTTCCTGTAACATTGTGTGGTATCTTGCTGTTAAGATATTTCATCATTTTAATTGATCCTTTAAAAATAGTCTGACTTAGAAGACTATACTTACATTTAGGACTCAAACACCAAAGTAACAGAAAAGACCTGTATCCAACAGGTACATGTCATTTGTTCTGTTTGTGTTAGTTAAGTGAATAAAATGATTAATAAATGCAAACAAAAATAAGTAAATGCAAAAAAAAAAAAAAAAAACAGTCTGTCTAAAAACTGCTTTGAAATAGTTTAACAAACCAGTTTATGCACAGAAGCAGACCGTGTTATACACGTAACTCTGGATTCTCGGGACATATAATGCCTCAGAGGCAAAACAGGAGGGCCCCCAAAATGTTAAAGAAAATGTATCTGAATTATTCAAATGTTTGTTTACGTATTTTAGTTTGTAATAAATTAACCTTATGCAATTATTGCTTTAACATTTAAATTGAAGGAGGAAAAAACATGACATAATGAATAATGTCAGTCATTATTTGGGGGGCCCTGTGTGGTCTTCGCATTGAGGGGGGCTGTGAAATTGCAGACTGTGAGAATGGCTGCTTTAAACTAAATAATTTATCATATATCATAAATGAGTCACAATATTTGGTTTGGAAGTTTGACTCAATCATCTTCATCATTCTTGACTAAACCTTGCAGATTTTCCACAACTTGCTAAACTGGTCCTTCCTTCCAATGTCTTTAGTTGGCCCCGCTGTAGGATGAGAGCTGGAGCTAAAGCCTCACTCAGGAGCATTAGATTAATCAATGAGAGTGGAGACTATGACTAACACTGCTCACGGCTCACTGTAGCTATGCTTTGTCAAACACGTTTACGGTCACAAGCAAACTACTCCTGAACTCTGGGATGGGACCACCACAGGCTACACCCTGTCAGGCCTGCTGAGACTTTGTCCAAGTCCCTCTCAGACCAAACAGCACAAGTCAAATACCGCTCGGCCCCGGAGGCTCTCATGACATCGGCTGATGTGACACCCGTCCCATCCCGCAGTTAAGGCCCTAAAGTGGGGTCAAATTAATACCCCTGCCCTCTGCGGAGTAAACGCACAGCGCCAGTGGCCAGAATGTACTAACATAGAGTGTTGGGCTTCAAGCAATATGTACATGAATCAAATCTGTACTATACATCATTCGCACATTTTTATTTTGTTAAAACATTTCTGAAAAGATCAATATTGAGCCAAGGCCAAACACGTATTAAGCTACTACAGCTAACATTACTAAGTTAAAGCAAATGGGTCATTTTGATTGGTACATAAAAGGGTTTCGTGGTTGACTGAAAATGGCATAAGACATTTGCCCACTGCATAGTATTTATGCACCTTCTCTATCACTGACTTAGAATTTAATGACACATTTAATAACATTACGGGCCCAGATGCACATGTGAGCCTCTTCCAACTGGCCCCTGCCAATTACGCTGAAACCCTCCCAGCTCTTGTCGAGCCAGCATTTGCTGCTCTCTCTCTTCCTATTCCCAATCCCGCTGATAATTGAAACCTGACATGAGTGTGGAATAACAATGGAGTGGACTCTTCAGGGAATGTCTTCTGACTTCCTTCATGTTCTCCTGCTTGTATCTTTCCACAGTGATATCCCTCATGCCCCAGCTTCTTTATGTTCCCATGTTCCTTTTTCTGATGCTGACATGTGAATAGCCTCACACGCAAATATCAGCCATCACATTTTTACAATGTACTAAACAGCAGTGTGGGTAGTGGATGCATGCAACTTAAAGTGTGAATGATTTTAAAAATATTTTTATTTAAATGGTTTTTCATTTTTATGATTCTCTCATTTTGACTTAAGTCAACTGGACAAAAGTTTTTTGAGTGAAGACCTTTCACAGCTCATCCAAGCAGCTTCTATAGTTTCAATAGACCTAGCTGACAAGCGGAACCCGTAAACAAGTATGTTAGTTTCAGTGTAGTCTGCAGTGTAGTTAGCTCCTCCCTTCAAGTAGATATAAGGCAGTGTCCACAAGCAATCTGACCAGAACTGAATAAGCAGCTTGGATGAGTTGCAAAACTTCTTCACTCAAAAAAACTTTGTCCAGATGATAGAACAAATTTTTCTTTTGCTATTTTGCTCAGCATGGCTGTTTTCTTGATCCATACCAAACAAGTCCTGAATATTGAGCTTCCTCTTCTAATTGCCAAATCGATGTGATGTTTATTCTTATCAATCTAAGAAACATAAATGACTAAAATCTCTATTGCAAAGCACAATTACAGGTTAAATGTTGTTCTTAGTTGTGCTGGAGCTACAATTCATTTGTTAGGGACCATAGACACAACATAATGGCAATGACACTCTCTGTACCTTTTTTTTGGGTCTTATTCCGCATCATTTAACAGTCTGTCAGTCCGCCCCAGGATCAGTCTGGCTTTGGAGTCAAATCACTTCACCTGTGCTCAAGAGCTCTCTGAATAGTAGTTATCATTTCAGTCAGTACACATATTAGCACCACCTCGGAATGCTAAAATAAACGCTGTCTTTTACCTGGGAGAAAATGCACTGATCTGTAATCTGTAAAAAAGGTTGTTTAAAGAATCCAGCCTCTCTAAAACATCATACCACAAGCTGCTCTCAATGGCCTATTACAATTTAACGGCAGCACTAAAAGCTGCATCATCTCAATAAGAATGAGAGGGCTGTAGTCTGGGTCATATTCCTATAACACCAGGAAGCTGCTAGGAAAAGAGCAACACAAATTAGCAGATTTCGAAGCTTTAGAGTTGGCAATAAGGGCGGCCATTTTCTGTGAGTGGGGTTACTGCCTCCCACATCCAGCCTTTGGTGTTCAGTGTCAAACAGAGAGAGTGTGAGGCTCCTCTCAGTGGCTATCTCAGTGTGAGATTGTGGTGGTGTAGTCCGGTCTGCATGTGGAGGAAGTGATTGCAGATACCAACAGTGAATAAATGAGCAGCCAATTAGCATTTGTTGGCAATTAACATTAACAGTCACACAAATGAGCTCTGCGGTTATGTTTCATGTTCTATTTTATCAATCCCCCACACAAAGAGATTGGTTATTTGTTCAGTTAGTCAAAAATGCATTCCAATGAATGCAGCACTGATGGCGAATATTTTAAGTGGGATTGGTGTTTAATATTAACCCGATTCATCAGCCAGTTTCACTTTGTGGAAACGGTCTGACCTCATGGCATTAGGATTTGTTTGTTCGACAGTAGTTAGGAAGTAGGGCAATAATATATTTCCCCTTGATAAAATTCACCAAACATTCTCTTTGTTCCAGCTTTAAAACCTCAATCTCGGGAATCGTTACAAACACAGAATGTGGCTTCGTCTACATCAATCTTGACTGCTTTGTTTAATGTTGTGCTGTACCACAAAAGGGACCCTGACAGGTTCTTGAGTTTGACATCATGGCTTCACAGCTCTTCGCTGATTGGCCAGCATGCCAGGATGGCCAGGATTCTTGCAAACCGCCTAGTGTATTCTGATTCCTGAACTAGTTGCTGAAGAGAAATTAAATTGAGTGGAGGCACGAGGTGGCATCAGCCTGGCTGGGTTAATATATTTACTCTTGATTAATAGAAATATTTAAAACAGATCTTCTTGTAGCCATGAGTCAGTGAGTGGACACCTATTTGGTCAAGGCAAATGATGGAATTTCTCTATATATACAGTTGTACTGTAGGAAAAGTACCTAATTGAATTATCCTTTAATATTTGACATTTCTGACTCACATTTGGTTGTCTGCTTTATGTTTTGTTGACTGAAGCATTTAAAGTTGCACTATGTAACTTTTCTAATGGATGGTCTGCCACCTGCTTGTATCTACTGAGAGGTTATTATTGGTATTTCCAAGAATATTCCATCACCATGAGGTCAAGCAGGTGATAGCAGCAGGTCGGGTTACAGGTGAGATCGGTGGAGAAGTGACCCTTCTCACAGTAAAGATGCATGATTTTATGGGTATTTTTTAGCAGTAAAATGTGATGCAAGATAGATCAGTTTAATGTCACATTCAAGGCAAAGCCATAACACATCTCCATGGAGACAAGAGCGAGGCGGATCCCCAACCTTAAAAATAACTTCTAAATATAATAATATATATATTTTGAACAAATCAGTTATAATGGCTTCTAACGTAATGCTTTAATGTTTAGATGTAGCTAAACTGACGAGTAGCAGATTCCAGTTTTTTTTCTATACGACCAAAATAAGAGCTGTCTGCACGTTCACTTGTTGATCTTTCCTCTGTCAGGTTTTCCAAATTCGCACTAGTCACTTTTGAGTCCAATTGATCCCATTGTATTATTTTGGCCATCTTTTTTATCTTCCAGAACAAGATCATTCTGGACCCTCTGACATTCAGCGAGGCACGTTTCCGCCCGTCTCTGGAGGAGCGCCTGGAGAGCATCATCAGCGGAGCGGCGCTGATGGCCGACTCCTCCTGCACCCGCGACGACCGCCGAGAACGCATCGTGGCTGAGTGCAACGCCGTGCGGCAGGCCCTCCAAGACCTGTTGAGTGAATACATGAACAATGTAAGTGCTCTGCTAAGACTCACCCAGATCAACTGATGTAGGATAAAAATAGCTTCAAATATCAGGCAAAATGTGAATACAGCTGTTCACTGGGAGACTTTATGCCTAAAAGAATCCTACACCACAGATGTTAACAGTTTAATGTCTTTCTACCTTGGGGGGGCCTCGGGAGATTTTTTAAAGTGCTGCTTGAAAATGGCATCTACTCATTTATTATTGCACCGCGGGGACGACTACCTGCTGCCCATAACAGTCCAGGTCTCTCCTCACACAGTTGTTTAGTTATTAGCAGATACACATTTTAATCTCCACACTGTGTTCACTATATTGCTCCTTCAAATCCCATTTTAAGCTAGCCCACATGTCCCTTGGAATAACAGCAGTAAAAAACTTGCTGTGTTTTGTAGAGCAAGTTTTAAAGGCAGCAAGTAGAGCAAGTCTTAAAGGCAGAGTCTACTGTATCTCTGCTGTAACAGGGCCATCAGCTGAGCTAACAGTACTTCTTTTTCTGCTCTTTGAATTCAGTGTGTAACTTTTCCAGTCATCAGCGTGTTCTTTCCTGCTCACGCTTCAACAGTCAGGCCATAACCACAAACGTGCCCTTCAGTTTTGTTATGTTGTCTGCTGCCAAAAGGAACACTAACAAGGAAAATGTTGGAACAAATCTATGAAGGGAACGTGGTTTAATAATCTTGCACTGTAACAGAAGACACTCAGACCGCACATACATTGCATTTTTTCTTGTATTTCTCCGTTTAGATCATCGTCAGTAATTTCAAAGTTTTGACATTCACTCAATTAGGTAATTTCATCTTTAAACGTATTATCTGTGATAAAAGCGATACACAGTCACAAGTGCATGAATGTAGCTGCGCTGTGCTGTGCTCAAACATAGAGGCCATTTCTGTAATGCTCTGATGTCACTCTGTTATTCAGTTTCTAGAGATGGGCCAACACAATGATCAATACTCCCCGAGATCCATTTCACATCCAAAGCTTTCTGTTCAACTTGGACACACTGTCATTGCCCTGATGCATGTTTCGCCGCAAAACTGGATAATGGATTCTGGATCATTTGGATGAGAAGAGGATTAGAAGTCAAGGAGGGCACTGGACCACACAAGCAAAATGGAAACACAACTCTACTATAGTTTCTTTAATGTTAATCAGCAGTTTAGACACTTGCATGGCAAATTCAGAATCATCTCTCTGTATGTTAGTATACAGAGAGATATTCATGATTTATATAATATTTTCTTCGAATACAGGTGAACAAAGGAGCTCATTGGTCACTTGTCATTTTGAATAAAATTACATTCAGATTAACAGAGAGACTGATTCTGCAGAACTCAGTCCTTGTTGATATTTTTTTCCTCATAAACAGCCATCATTGTTTTGATATGAACGGACCATGCTTTTCCCTAGTCTGTCAGTCATGCCCATCGGAACTTGGGGAGTTTCACTGGTGACAAGACTCACAGCTTTGGAAAGTACTGAAGAAATGTGTATTCAGAATCGCAGGCAATATAAACACAATAAAGTGATATAAAACGGCTATAAATGAAAACAGTATTTTAGTGTGAAACAAGTGAAAATGGCAAGAGCATTGTTACACATCAGTCTCTTAAGTAATTCAGCACTGGTTCATTGGATCTGTGAGTTGTGTTTTAGAGGCTACAGCTGGGAGACTGTTGACAGCCCCTAGCTATCCCAGGAAGAACACAGACTAAATCATTCAGATGCAAAGAACAAAATGCTCCCTCTTCACAGCTCAGGTCCTCTCTGACTGAATCCACAAGTAGGCTACGCTGTCGAAGATCGCTTCAACTCGCACTGCTCTTATACCCAATAAAATAGACTCAGACGTTTAAGAAAATGGACCAAAGCTCTTACTGCCTACTTCTGGTATATTACTGTTACATTATACAAATGTAAGTGCATGTTTTGAGTTCCTTGGTTTATGGTGATATGAACTATTCTCTATTCTCTTCGCTATACAAGACATTTTGTTCAGAGAAAATGAGTCGAAAGAAATCACAGATTCCTCGTCAAGCTGGCAGGATGTCTGATGTCTGGTCCATAGGATTGCATTTGGTTACACTCAATTATTTTTGCCTTGTAAGAGAATTCAGAGAAATGTTCCAACTGTTCTGACTCCCCTACTGCCTTTTCCTCAATTATGTGCAAAGTTTACATAAGTATTCTAAACTCCAAACTGCACTGTGTTTTTTCCTCTTCTCCCAGTCAACTGTTCTCCACTCCCAACACACAAATTTTATAGGAAGCTTAAACCACAGCACAAGGTTAATCAATGTGGTAGCTGGCAATAAATTAGGTTCAAGTGACAGGGGAATGTCCATACCTGTCTGGGCGGCTGGTGATCTGTGATTGGTGACAGCAGGCCCGGCTCCCCGCTCGCTGCTGAATCATCAGGAGCAGCTGATTTAGTTACGGCAGCTCCGACAGGGCCAATCTATCAATTGATCCGGGGCGTAATGCATTACCCGCTTGGGTCAAGGGAGCCCGGGTAGAATATAGCCATAGCCCGGAGGTTGGCGGGCGGAGGAGGGCACAGACTGGGACAAGTGGTGTGGACAATTTAGAGCGCGAGAAGCAGAGCACTAATCTCACTGTTAGCTAAATGTGGCACATAAAATCCAACAGGCTCTTGATCATTAAGCTCTGAGTGATGGCTGTCCTGCACACACAGCTCCTGCGGGAGTTACCATGTACAACGCTCAATCAACAAGCGGGTGACTGATTACGTACAGGCAACTGCTCTGTCCGCAGCCGTCAGTATACGCTGTCAGTCACACAGTCACACCTTTCACCAATCTGACTGCTAAATGAAACCTGATTTTTGTGCCTTTCAGATTGCACAATGTGATTATGTCTAACTCCCAAATGGGGGAAGGCATATCCAAAAGAAAACCTAGACATGTTTCATTATTTATATTGGTGACTCAGGCCTTGAACTATCAATGCTGAGACTTGGACTTAGACAGACTTTATTGATCCACAAGAAAAATTATTTGGACAACTGAGAGAGTCATTTTGGAACCATTTCCAGTAAATATTTCAGGCCTATTGAATGGTGTGATGTCAGTTCTCATCACATTTGAGAACAGTGCTGTCTTGTACAGCTGTTGAGTAATAAAAATTACAAAATGCATTGTTTATTAGATTACACAAAATTGACTCTTGTGAGCTTTTAGTCATTTGTGTTAGAATCTGATTTACTCTATTGGGGCAAGACAGATTTTGCCCAAATGTGTGGGGAAAAACATTTGGTACAGGCCCCTTTTAATTAAAACACCACTATGGAACTTCTTAGCCAAAAAAATATACATACATATTTGCATTTATTTTCATTATGGCTGATGTTATGGCACTAAAAGCTTGAGAGTCATGCAGGTGATTTTGGCAAGTTAAAATATCAGAAAAGGTCACTAATAAATTTAAGTATATGTATTCTTATCCGTTATAATGTTGTTTCCTCATCACAAACATACCTGGAGTTGTTTTGTTTCATTCACACATTATGAGTTATTATTAGTCTACATCTCCATATCTTAAAATGCTCTGTTCCAGTTTGGGATGTCAAGTGGTAGTTTTCAAGTTAACAGCAATTTTTTTTTTTTTTTACCTTTTGTTCAGTAGAGATTAATATACAGCCAATTCCAGGTCCAAAATCATAAAAATGATTCTAGTTGGATTTAAAAACAGTGGAGCACTTCCTGTATTACTGCATGTAGTGTTGGGGAGTAACAGATTACATGTACCGGAGTTACATAATCAGAGTACAAATTATGAGTAACTGTATTCAGTTAGTTACTGTTTAAGTGAGTGGTAATTGGATTACAGTTACTTGGTTGAAATAAATTAATTACACAGAGGTATTTCCCAGTTTTCACATTTTGGGTTATATCCCTTTTTTTGTGGTAATTCCACTCATTGCTGGACACAAAATCAGGTCTAAAGCCAGGTCAAAACCAGGTCTAAAGCCAGGTCTAAACCAGGTCTAAAATCAGGTCCAAACCAGGTCCAAACCAGGTCTAAACCAGGTCTAAAATCAGGTCTAAACCAGATCTAAACCAGGACTAAACCAAGAATAAACCGTCTAAACCAGGACTAAAACCAGGTCTAAACTATGTCTCAAACAGGATTTAACAGGACTAAACCATGCCGTGTGGACTGTGTCTCCTCCTCCTCTATCAATACTATTTTTAATTTGGTTAAGTAAAGTCTGGGCCTTCTATTTTTATTGTCTTTTAGCAGACAAAACATCTTATATGAAGATTTCCTTGTCATTGCTTCTCTACAGCAAACCTAGTAATCCAAAGTATTCAGATTACGTTACTCAATTTAAGTATTTTAATGGATTACATTGCAAACTACATTATGGTGTATGTAATCTGTAGGGGAATACATTTTAAAAGTAACCTTCCCAACACTGACCGCATGACATCACAAGGTGGAACAGAGTGATTTCTGTTTAAGAGAAGAACTCTGCTTGAATTTGCAGAATGTGTGCTTGAAACATATGAATGAAAAAACTAAACAAAAACACACACACAACTACAGGTATGTCTTTGAAGAGTAAACAACATTATAACATAGATCAGAAAATAGTTTAGTATGGAACAAAGACAAAATGTACTTTAAGAAACTACTTAAACTCTGTTCTGACTTATTTATGCCGGAACTTGCAGAATACACATTTTGAAGTGCATTTGTGTGCCGTTTAGTCGCTCTGTTCTTGCCCTTGCACTAGTATCAACAACCTGCTTTTTATAGACTTCATTGGTCGATTTGACTGACAGAAGTGCTCCCGCATATAAATGTGGAGGTCTGGGAATTTAGAATGTCAGATTGTTTTTCTTTTTCTTTTTCTTTCTTTCTTTCTTTTTTTTTTTTTTTAAATATGAAGTCTTGTGAGATGATATTGGCATATTGACTTGTTTTCTCACTCACATTGGTGAATTCTGAGCATTGAATGG